CGCTTATATCCTAAAACGAGGTATAAATCCCTATTAATTCTAGTTTAAATTCTATAAGTATTATTACGTGAAAAGCGGGTATAAATTAAGGCTAAAACCCTTAATAAATAAGTATAAAAGAATTAATCTAAATATTAAATAATTTAAATAAGTTTTAGTCTTATATTATTAAGAGACCTAAGAATAAAGTTCTTTTTTAATTTCTTACTTAATCGTCCTATATCCTAGGTTTATCCTAATAAAGTCTTAAGTTTTTAAAGTAAAAAATAAGTTATATAAGTCTTATTTAAATACCTAAAAATACCTAATATTTCTAATAAATAATTATAAGTAACCTATTTTCCCTTATAAATTTATTTAGGTCTTTTTTTCCTACCTATACCTACCTAAAGCCCACGGGTAAGCAACCCACACGGGTACCCGTGGACCTTTTACACCCTAGTCCGTCTTTTATCAACATGGTAGGTTATATAACCACCACACGCGCGGTTAACCAATATTTGATGCGGGGGTGATTTGGCTTAACAAGTAAAAATATGGAAAAAATTCAACGACAACACGCTTGCCATTCATGTTGCTTGTGCGAACCAGTTTGGCACTGCTATATCCTTCGTTTGACGCGTAATTGACAATCCCCTTGGGACTGTGGGCTCCTGCTCGGCGACAACGCAATGGTTGATAACTCAATCGTACAAGGAGTGACGGGTCGCATCAATTTGACTTCTCATATGGGTAATGGGACGACCTTTGTCACACGTTCGAGAAGTCGCCAAGGAAACCTTCCAAGGCTTCTCCTGCAGGCTCTACTGATGATCTGTCTTAACAGGACGCTACTTCTCAAGTCGCTAGTATCGCGTGATGATTTGCCAAGATGGTTGCAGAGCTCTCCGCCACAACCTGTCGCTGGAACGGCTTGCTATTGGCTCGCCATATTAAACGACAATGAATTTTGGCGGTGTCTCACATCGGAAACTTCCGAGGCTTTCTTTTCGATAAGCGTTAGTTGCGACCGGCACCCCCTCCCCGATCATTCTGGGTGGCCAAGCTCTATGAGTCGTTTTGACTCGGGATTGCGAAGTGCAAATCATCACCCTCGAGACTTAGCATGTGCCCATTACCATGAATTTCTCCTTGGATGTAAACATTCACATGTTACGTCTCACGCTTGCCGAATGAATCACTTCGGACTCTCCTCGCTGGTGCCTGACGGGGGCTTCTGGATTTCGTGAACAGCGTTACATAAGATTCCGATGATGTGCCCTCTATGTGGGCCAATCTATCCTCACCATATTGCCACCGATACATGGAGAAATCGGTCCAAACTCAGAACTCGCGCAGCCAGATTCCTGGACAAGGTTCCCGATCCTGGACGCCATTGCTCTCCGACAACGGCACAGTGTGGCATAGCATGACATGATGGATACACACCGACGTCTCAGATCTGCTCGTCTGATGCATCGAAACGAATTAGGTCTTGGCCGGTCAAAATTGCGTGCTTGCGTGCGTGTCTGGGCATCAATGACAAGGAGCGTTTGGCGTTGTATACAAGACTTGCAAGAAGTGGGTGGAGTGACGTGATCGGCACCATCATCACGTCAACGGGGGTCGAGCTTTGGTGTATCCACTAACAGTAATGAGGAGGAAACTGTGCGCTATGGTGTTAGTGTTGACTTGGGCTTACCAAATGCCGTCAGGTGCATTTCATTCCGGGGCGGATCTGATGGCTAAGCGATCAATTGCAGTAACCGTGCATGATTTCGCAATATTTGGCGTCGGGGAGCTATAGCGGGGCTGGCCCCCAGAGCAGTGAAGTATATAAGGAACTGTGAGCTCGTCATTCATACTATCCGCGAAGTCGGTTGTTGAGCAAGACAAAGAGACCTCAAAGAAACAAACAGGCTACATTTTCAGCCTAAGAACATGGCACCCTCAGCAATTACTACCACAGTCACCGAGGAGGCTAAGCCTCGTCAAACTTACAAGGTTCACTTGGGACAGTATAAAGAGATTGACCCTTACGAGGTGGACCGCGATGTCGAGACTGGAAAGAAGGGCGGTAAGGGGGCCAAGGTATGAAAGTCTCTACTTGCTGCCATATATCATGACCTGACCTGTGTGCGTCCTTCACAGTATACTGACAAACTGCTTCACAGTATCCTCATTACCTCCCTACCTGGAACCGGGAGCAGAAATGGGGGCCCCTAGAGCCTTTCGAGCACTACGAGCACGGCAAAGACGCCGACACATCATACCCTAACCTCTTACCTGAGGGAACCAAGGTCACCCAACTCACACCAACCATTGGCTCGGAAGTCTCTGGCATTCAACTATCTTCACTCAGCGACGCGGGCAAAGATGAGCTGGCTCACTTTGTCGCCAAGCGCAAGGTTGTTGCCTTCAGAAACCAAGACTTTGCCGACCTCTCCATCCCAGACGCCTTGAAGTATGGCGAGTACTTTGGCCGTCACCACATCCACCCGACATCTGGTGCCCCAGAGGGATACCCCGAGATTCACCTTGTCCACCGTGGCGAGGGTGACAAGGGAGCTGCTCAGTTCTTCGAAGCCCGAACCAGCTCCGTGGCCTGGCATTCGGACGTCTCGTATGAGAAGCAGCCCCCTGGCACAACTTTCCTATATATCCTCAACAAGCCAGAGACTGGCGGCGATACCCTATTCGTCGACGCCGTGCAGGCTTACAACCGTCTCAGCCCGTTATTCCAGGAGCGCCTGCATGGCCTGCGAGCAACCCACTCCGGCATTGAACAGGTGAATGCCGCCGCGGCCAGAAACAGCATCAAGCGACGAGAGCCCGTGGTCAACGACCACCCTATTGTGCGAACCCACCCTGCCACGGGTGAGAAGGCGCTCTACATCAACCCTCAGTGTAAGTTGGTTTGGCAACCAAGGCAGCTCCCGCTCCCAAAACACCAGCTAACAGATGCAACAATAGTCACACGGGAAATTCTAGGCCTGAAGAGGGAAGAATCTGATGCTATTCTCAAGTTCCTATATGACCACTTGGCATATGGTGCCGACTTCCAGGCCAGGGTGAAGTGGGAGGAGGGCACCGTCGTCATTTGGGACAACCGAGTTACCCAGCACACCGCCCTTGTAGACTGGGAGGACGGCCAGCGACGTCACCTGGCTCGCATCACGCCCCAGGCCGAAGTGCCTTATGAGACACCCTTCGAGGCGCGCAAGTAGGTTTTTCTTTGTGTCGCCTGAAGGCAAAATAGAATGAGAAATGAGAGCATAGTTTGATAGCATATAATACTTGGAAGCAATAGACTCCCTTGGAACTTGTATACGATACGATGCAGTTTTGACTCGAAAAAAATGTGGTGTATGGTGACTATGGTCCCCCATGGCTGGGTCGAAATGGGTTGGGCAGCCCGAATTTCCGATTCCACTTGAGTCTCCTACCCTGATCGCCGCTCAGGCGAATTTTTACACCAAAAGACTTGAGGATTGTTCGGCACGCGTTCACTAGGACTGACTGTAGTACTTGCCCCAGGTGACATGATTTGGAGATCAAGTGTCTGGTGTGATGTGTGTATAATAGCCAGGGGTGGTTGTAAGTGGGAACTTCGACCTTGTACGCCCATGAACCGTACAAAATGCTATTGCGAGTGCGAATAAATCCTACGAGGAGACAAAGGGAGCCATGGAGTCTGTCAACCATACAGTGTAGGATGCGAGATGCCTCCAAGCAAATGGTGATGTGACCCCCATTCAAACCCAGACTCCAAAAGAAACGCCGCAGACTTGGTTAATTGAACAAATAGTACCAATACAGCGCCGTCTCTCCCGAATTCTCCGTCCCTCTGTACAAAAACTCGTCGTAGCCCCCAAAGACAGCGCCACAGCCCGCATAAAACCGACAGGCGGCCACGTTACTATCCTGCGTTTCAATTTTAATTCCGGCTACGTCCAGACCTCTCGCCCATTCGACCACTCTGTTAAACAGTTTCTTCCCGTACCCTTGGCCTCTCAGCTCGCTGGAAACGGCAAAGTCATGCAGAGTGACCATGTTATTCCAGTCTTTGAATGCCATGGCGTAGCCATGCACTGACCCAGAGTCGTCACGAAGCGCAAAAATAACCTTGTGCGTAGCCTGTTGAGCGACCTCGAAGTCATCGTCTACTCCACCGTAGGATTTAGTGTACTCGCGCGTTGGATTTAGTTGAATGTCTGAAGGGCTTGAGATGGATGCCAAGTGAGCGTACGGTCGGGAGAATTTGGAGGAGACTTTGAATGAAAAGTTGCATCCCGCGAGATCGGCATTTGTCAGACTATCTGCCGTTGAGACCTGCATTTTTTGACGTGGATAAAAGCCGAAAGCGAAAGCTCGGCAGTTGTTAATCATGTGAAATCCGATCAGGAATTGCTTTGCTAGGCGAGATGGGCTCTTTTGCGACCGGCTGATGTTGCGCAAGACGTCTGACTCCAGTACGCCGTGTGTTGACGACTAATAGGGTGCAGTCCTGTGAGACGAGACATGCGTACAGTCACCAACTTGTTTATTACCGAAAGGGATGTGCCTGAAATTAAAACAAAAAAAAACATCACTAAAGCCCATTATGACTGTTCACCGGTCATCCAAGTTTGGGGCGTTATGTTCCACAGTTGCCACATATCAGATGCCCGCCCTGCGAGACATTGAAGCTAGACGTTTCTACTCTGTTCATGTTTCGGGCTTAACCATTGCATTAATCCCTAACAGTCCCTAATGTGACGTTCTTTTTCTATGCAGCTCTCTTGACTATCCTTGAGACGGATGTCTACTCTCAAACTATACCGCTCAAGGGTGCTGCCTACTGCCTATGAGCCTGCCTTGTTGACCACGGGCCATGGCACGGCAAAGACCATGTATCACCAAATTCAAAACTGTAACCCAAAAAGCAGGCATAAAAATTGTCAAAAAGGCACAAGTCATTCCTGAAGCCCGCCAAGTACAGCCAGACCGCGCTGGTCAGCATGTCACGATAACTGAGGCACTAATCGAAAATTCCCGGCCATTAAGGAATTAAGCCGTCGATTTCCTCGGCATCCATAGGGCGGCGCGCTTTACAAATTAGCACTTGACGTTTATTCCCGTGTTTATTTCCGCAAGCCCTCTGTCTTTGCCGATAAACCAAGTGTCGCAGAGAATAACTATAAGGGTGTATAACACACAAAATACTGTGGCGTGGCCACGTCCGTTTTTTGTGACACCAAGTTTGGCGCTCACAGCCATCCAACAGAACTAGTCGTCTTCACCAGAAAACCATGTCGATGCGGATTGCCGGTGTTCGCCCCGTCAGATCAGCAAAAAAGTTCCATTGGCGCCTTGCTCAGCAGCCGCGACACACGTACGGCTCGATGAGAATGTCGGCCTCCTTCCGCCAGGTTGAGCACACCATCAGTGGCTCCCACACAAGAGAGTATCTCGGTGCAACGGCCAATGGAGACGACGATGTTCCCCAACTGGCTGTGAAGCAGTACATCCCACTCAACAACCCGCGCCCGCAACCTGGCGATGTGACCATTATTGGCGCCCACGCCAACGGCTTCCCCAAGGTCTCCCCTTTGCCCGCTTTTGGCCTTTGGCCAGAAGACCCAAATTCACAAGAGCTAACTATTTCTGCAGGAGTTGTACGAGCCTCTTTGGGACGATGTGTACGATCGGCTGTTGTGGAAGAACATCCGCATCAGGTCGATCTGGATCGCGGACATATGGAACCAAGGCCAGTCCGGGGTGCTCAACGAAAAGATGCTAGGCAATGACCGATCGTAAAAAAAAAAAAAAAAAAAAAAATTCACCCCCAAATG